TTTTAATTGATTCGTGTTGAAGTATTTGAAACATTTTTTATCTTTTTTTTTTTTCCTACCTAAGCTGAGAGCCTGGAGAGGCTATTTCAGCGTAACCCTAACGTTTGTAGGTGAGCTCATGGGGCTCAAACCTGATGACGTTGCTAACACGAACCCTAGTAAGAGCCATGCTTCGCAGAATCTACCACCGGATCGGAAACGCGACCCACTGAGAAGATCCGGCGAGAAACTCAGTGGGCTGTGTCTGAGAGTATTTTTTATCGATGCATGGACTTAATAGAGAATCAAATCCAATTGAATAAATAAATAAGATCATTTCTGTCCATAGAAAATGATGTAAAGGTGTCAAAAATCTTGATTTTTACTCTTTATATATATTTGACTCAGACATTGAACGTAAATTATTTTCATTTATTTCATATATAAGCTAGCCATCCACCGGTTGCTTCGCCCGCGTGGACTATACTAATATCACGTCAGCAGTTGAGTGAAAGAAGCCTTTTTTCTCAGGGCGTGTATTTATGTACATATATTCATTTGAAATGCAAATTTTAATTAAACCATGTAAAATGATAACCGTAGATCGAATCAGAAAACGAATAACATCATCTGTCGATTACATGACTGCAGTAAACGTGCTTATAAATAACTTAATTCCCGAAATTACTGAATTATCGAATACTTACCAAATTGCTGTTTAATATACAGAAATTTATTAATTTTTCAATGTTTTTTTTTAATTTCCCACAATTATCGTATATCGATGAGTCTCAGCCAGACAGGAGCACGGGTAATTTTTGAATGCCCTTCTTGAAGAAGTCAGATGTCAGTCAATCAATCAATCAGTCAATCCGTCTGTCAGTCCAGATCAACAAACTCTTCAAATACATTTGGCCTCTCGGCTATAAATTTTTTTCCTGCTAAAAAGTTGTCAAACTTTGGAATAAGTGGAAGTGTGCCAGTGCAAACTCTGCTGATTAGGGTGGATTACGCAAAACTTCCAACCCTAGCTCTTGTAGCTTAGAAATCGTCTGTTGTGCCGTACGAGATCAAGCATTGTCATGTAACGGGGACAAGTGATGAACCAAGGCTGGCCGGAGACTAGCGAGCTTCTCCATAACTGTGTCCAGTTCCTCGGAGTACACATCCGCAGTAATAGTGGTTCCATTTGGTAAGAAGCTGTGATGAATTATACCGGCAACAGACTACCAAAGAGTGGCTATGATTTTCTAGGGGTAAGTTTTCGTGTGTGACATTGCCTATCTGCTGAACTAGGATCTGATTACCGTTTAACATTATGAAAAATAATCCATTTTGTCACACGTCACATTGCGGTTCAATAGCAACGCAAGGCAAACCTTAACGCATTTTTTGCGCTGGCTCCATGGCGAGCGTTCAGTTGGTGCGGTACCCCCTTATATATATTTTTACACGTCCTTACGGATCCGTCAGATTCAATAACTCTTGCATTAGATACCTTCAGCTCTAACACTAGGAGCAGGCTGAGGAACCCCGGTAACCGTACTTGTCGAACTCGACAAAGAGGTCGACGTGCAGCTTAACCCATGCATCAGCCCGCTGAGTTTCTCGCCGGATCTTCTCAGTGGGTCGCGATTCCGATCCGGTAGTAGATTCATTCGCGAAGCAACTGCTCTTGAGTTGTTAGGTCTCCTTCGGAGGCGCTCGGGCAGTTGTTAGCAAATCCCACCCCTCCTGGCTGAGCCTTTGCTCGCCCACCTGTCCTGGTGAAGCTGGAAAGGCCTCCGGGCCACCAGTAATCTCTCAATCATATAAAAAACAAAAAAAAAAAATATATATTTTTTACCTTTTTTACGTAAATATTGTTTTGATGTTATAATATTGTAATATTGTTTTGATTCTAACGTTGAAACCTGTTGCTTTTAACTCAGCGGTTGATTGACTATAGTCAACTTCCATTATCGGCTTGAATTCGTCTTTGTCGACTTTAGTTTTCGAGCGACCACGGGGCTCATTTTTTAGATCAACATTTCCATAACGGAAACGTTCAAACCAATAAAGAGCCGTGCGTTTGTTTGTAGTGTTCACTGCGTACACGTCATTAATGTTGTGAGCAGTTTATGCGGCATTGCTACCGCCTCAGAATTCTTATTCCACTCGTGTTTTTATCGTGTCCATGATGAAAAAGAGACTAATTTAGTGAAAACATAACATCAATAAACCAATGACCAAATGTGAAAATAGCATTTACATATTTTTAAAACAAAATTCATCTGAATTTACAATTTATTGCCAGTCATAGACAATTTACGTTTCAAATGGCCAGTATTGTAAAACGGCAACTTCATAAGTAAAAAAGACTTTTTTGTTAAATAAAGTTATTGTGATAATTAGAATTCGTAAGCCTAAAGGACAAGATGCTTGGTTTCCATCGTATCGATGGATATGGTCGCGTTCACATCTCGCAGGCAGATACCAATTTTTCTAATGAAATATGTACTTAACAAATGTTCACGAATCACTTCCACGGTGAAGCAATAACACCGTGGAATATAGATAGGACACGAAAAAAATATAATTTGCGTAATTATAGGTGGTAGGGTGTGTTGTGAGTTCGCTCGAATAGGTACCACCACCCTACCTATTTCTGTGAAGCATATATGCGTTTTAGTTTGAAGGGTGGTGCAATAACTGTACTGTAAAAACCTGTGACTTAGAACTCATGTCTCGATATGAATAACAATATAAACATCAACAACGTAAAGTGGTTGGTTACGTTGATCTACATATTAATCGTTCGGTACCAAACGGTACAATGTTTTTTTTTTTTAATTTTAAACATCAAAGGTCTCGTTTGGTGTTGTTTTTATACACTATATTACTGATTGTACGAAAATATAGTACTAACTTGTATCTAAATCCTGCAAAGTACGTCTGCCCAATCAGCGCAGCCCTGAGAGACTAGATATTTCAGTTGTTCTGTGATTTGAGTTAACGTCCTAATGTGCACAAATGTGAACTATGAAGCTATGACGGTAGAATAGTTTTCTAGTTTCGATTAGGACCAATATATTCTAATGCTTTTTATATTCATTCACAGAACTAATAAAACAGGAATACACATATCCCCACTATTTAATTTATTATTTTTGTTAACATAAATAGCAGGCGAGTAGTACATATTGCAATTAATAAGTATTTATTCATTCGTCTCTTGTCTGAGGATGTCAGTGTACTTTATCTAGCACAAGGACGTACGCGACCTTCTGTTATACGACTTGAAGCTACTTTTTACTGCAACGTTTAATTTATATTCATTTGAAATGCTGCAGCTAATTACATATTTATGTTTTATGACGGTCATAAAACACAACTTTCATTTTACATTCAAAATAATTATAATAATTTTATCGTTTACTATTTAATATTATTATTTAAGGAATCTTAAAAACTATAATGACTTGTTATTTTTTAATGTGTTTTACGACTACTAACCGTGAGTGTCTATTTTAACTAGCATGATAACTACTGAGAAGTTATTAATATTGTTTATAAGAGCTTCCGTGAATAAACGGAAACTTATCTATTTTACTTTAGTAATTTTTTATGTTTGAAAGATAGGCAACGGTGAATAATTTTGTTTTAATACACATACTATTCAAAATTAATCCAATTAACATGATGCGTGTAGCTTTGCATCTTGCGGTGAACACGTTAGCAGTTTCGCGTTAACGCATCAATTACTTGTAATGGTGAGAACGGCAATTTCCTCATTTTGTACAAACACTGGGCATACAAGTTGTGCGCAGCTGTGTCAGCGGGCGAACTGTAGAGCAATTTGCGTGTGCAAGCCGTGCACAGTGGGCGTCCACCGGATTAAATGAATCACGTACATATATATTATATCCGTATTCACAATTTGTCCAAACTATTTTCATTTACAATAAATAATAGGTAATATGTAAATTGTTTTTATTAGTAACGAATTTTATGTAGGTAATAATTAAAAATATTTGCATATGTTACGTTACCTTAATGATTTCATTTGTTTTACAATACTTACTTATTAGCCATTTTAACGACTTTGTAGTAGTTGTTTCTTGAAACCGTTCTTAAATTTGAGGGCATATTGTATGTACTTTCTCTCTACGGTCTCTACGGTGAGCAATAGAGTTGAATGTATAAGGCGATTTTTGGAAATTTGGCGAGTCTAATAGATACTCTATGCAAGACGCCTTCTTGGATCGGCATAGATATACAATATGCACTTGAACTTTAAATGCTCGTCAAATATGCTACCTCCTGCGTGGAAATATGAATATCAGCGAATACATTTACATTTGATGAGTGAATATAGAGAGTAAATTAATTGGAACACATTAAAAAGATTATAAGACACTGCACGTCGCTAAGAAACAGGTTCAATGCGATAAATTACGACAGGAATTTGGACTAAAACCGGTTGTTTGGCAGTACGAAATCAGGAAATGGAATTTTGTGAAACGCACGTTTACACAGTGCCTTGGTAGTCAGTCGCTTGGTCCTGCCGTAGATAGAATGCGAAAGACAAGAAATTTTACTTTTGTACGTGTAAACGCTAAACTTTGAAGTAGTATAAAAATGGGTATTCGATAAATAATATTTTACACTGCAAAAAGAGGAATAATAATAATCGTTAGCGACAAATAGTAAAAGAGTCGAATAGATAAATCATATGCAGCATAATATATATCTAAGCATTTACTCTTCGAAGCGTTAGCATTGTTATCATTTGCTTTAATTTCTGGCTGTTATTGTAACGAGATTCAAGTTAAAGTATAGCTTTGGTACGCTCAAGCAAGCTGTTATGAAACAGAATAGACCATTTTAATAAACAGGTCATTTTTTACATCACCTACACGCTCTCAACAATTATTTAGCTGCAATTCGTTTGATATTTTGCCTCTTTTTACTAATTCAATTTTATTAATCTAACTTGCGAAGAGCACAAAAATATTTATGTATATCATTATATTTTTTAGGTGATCAGTAAACCTTATCAAGCCGCTTCCGAGGCCGAATCAACGAAGTTGTGCAACCATAAGCGGAAATTGTTGGCAACACTGCAGTCGAGGTCGCAGTCACCCGCCACTCCACCGCCACAAAACATGGAACAAAAGAGAGGTATTCTTTAATTGATTGCACATTCATAATTAACCCAACAACTCCTCTCATCTACGTACATATATAAGCTGATAAAAAAACACGTATCGATCACCAGAATTCAAACTCAAATAAAGATGCATCATAAAAATAAACATAATAACTGGAAAATGTAGTTCCCCTCCGAATTTTCGGCGAATAAAAAAGAAACAATTAGAATAAGAAATAAGATCAAGTTATAAATAAAGGGCCGGATCGTCGAATGAAAACTCAATTTTATTCAGAATAGCAGAGCGTAAAATGTTATGTTAAGTGTAATAGAGCGATTCTGTATCATTTAAATTCATGATAAGCAAATGAGACGAGTTCCTAAAAAATGAATAAATCCAATGTTTTACAATGTTTCAACTGGACAGTTAATTGATACATTTTAACCTTTTGCAACTTTTAGTCTCAAAGAGCCATTTAGTGAATTATATCTGTGAAAACATTAAAACGTTTTATAATAAGCGGATTTTATCTTTAAGACCACGATAAAAGTGTTTTAATGAGCTGACACCGAGTGTTTATTGTTCATGGAGAATCTGTTACACGTGTTCAACTTTAGTTGTATGTTTTACACGGATCACACTTGCGTGGCTTACAAGCTCATCCAGCAGATCGTGGACGAGTATTATTATCCGATTAGCGGGCGGGTGTTCCGGGGCGCAATATCCGTAATCGGCCCTCCTTCATCCAATTACTTGAGTGTGAACCCGGCGAGGTAGTCAAGAAATCTCTGTTTCCCACATTTCTTTGTCAAACATCTTAATCACTGTTAGATTTTTGTAACGTCTTTGTATTCATACGAATATCGAACTGCGTCAATTTTATTGAGTACGACTAAGAATAATTAAACGAAACCAAGCGATTCACAAAACGTTACATAATAATATAGTCAAAACACCACATACGAAGTAAGTGTTTGAAAAGTATCAAAAGCAACAATGGTAAGTTGTCGTAGTTTTTCTTTGTAACAAAGGGTTGAGCGACTCTTTGTTGTTAAGTGGCAATATACGGCGTGTGGGGGCGGGGGTGCATTCTGTGCGACGTGAATAGATAGAAGCTAACTGCACTCCGTCCGAGACCCGAGAGTAACAACCTACAAGCAGCCCGAACTCATTTGACCTCTTAAGTTTTTAGTTAAAAGCTTATAAAAAAGTAAATTTTCTATGTTTTAAAACCTTCTAAGTGGCATTCGCAAGTTTTCTTACTCTAGATGAAGTCGTTAATCGGAAATAAATTAAATTCATTGTAACTATTATAAATTCTCAAGAAAAAAATGTTTTGTTTTCTCCTTAAAACTAAATTACGACTGACAACTACAACCCGGGCTCAGCTAGTAAAATTAAATCGACATGACATTAAATGATGGCTTTGAACCGGTACGTAGCAGTGAAATTTAAACGGCGTACCTCAGAATCGCGTAATTACAGAAAAGAAAGACAACCTTTGAGAAACAACAAATACGCTGGCGACTCGATCAGTGGCGGTAACAAAGACGAGAGTAATTTGAAACAATCGGCGGTGGTGCAAAGCGGCCGGTAGCATGGGTGCGCGCCCCGCCGACTATTGATCTGACGAGTCGCGACCACCCTGCGCCTCGTGCGCCCACCCCGTGCCGGCGCCTCGGGGACCACCCTCGCCTCGGCTCGCCCAACCATCACGGCCCCTATTTTAATTGCAAATCTGCCAGAAAATGTGCTAATAGATAACGGCATTATACTCGACTCGCTGACTAATTATGGAAGACTATAAAATCTCCAGATCGATCTATTTGTAGCTCTATCTACATATTTCTAGCTCTAATAAATTGTGATGATAGTCTTGTACAATATGTTTACAATAGACGGATGAAAAAAAAAATCATGAATACCTGTAATTTTTATAAAGGACATAAAAACGATTATTCATAAAAAATCACAACTAAAAAAAATATAATAATAGATTATTTGAACTCTGAGACAAGGAGTCTTAAACGATAAATTTCTGGCTCTGTGTTGTAATGTTCTAAGCTCGCATGGGTTGATACCGCTCTGCTTATTTAATCCGTAAATAAAAAAGGTAAGTATTACAATTATGAGCGCTTGTAATTTAATTCTAGACGTACCTTCCCCACTGATAACTTTAAGCGTTCGTATCTAAGAGCTTTAAAAGCCGATTTAAATAATTTCATTAGCACACGTACATTCCTATAGTGTTAATTATTTTCTCTACATATTCTATTTAATTAAATTATGAAATATTCTCACAAAATTCATTCCATTCGAATTTTTAATATTATTATTCGCAATAAGCGTAGTATAATAAAGTTATAAGGGTCGTCTGGAGAGCAATCCAATGTCAGCAAGTCCGAAGAACCTTAATGAATGACATTGCGTTCAATGAAAGACATTCACATTGGCGCGATTATGTCTATTTTGTTAACATTGGGGCCTTGTGATTTGGGAAATTAAATAAGCAATACATTTTCATATTAAAAAAGTGTTCGTAAGATGTGAGCTAATACGTAATATTCATTCATAAATATTCACGGGTAATCGGCGACGATTAATTATAAATTATTAGCGTTGTCGGGCAGGTAAGCAACAGACTTGAATGGAAATTGACGCGTTGCTTTGTAAATGCATTTTCCTATTGCCATATTTTATCGATTGACGTAATTGCAATAAAATAATTGTCATTGATTTAACAATGTCAGTGTGCTTGGTGTAGGTATTAGGTTAATACTGTTCGAATTGCTTCGTCAAATAATGAACTGTTCTAAATTAATCATTAGCATAGGAAAAATAAAGCTTTCCAAGTACTTTAACCTGTCTAGATGTTAATTTGAAAGATCATCGCAAAAGATATGTAACTGAGAAGGCATGACGTCATACGTGGCTGAAAGACATAATGAAAAATGCGCCTTATTCAATTGGAATTAATTTAATAGTAAAAAATTTTAATGCTTACGTTACATTTCACAAAAGTACTGAGTACTGATTGTATTGATTTACCACTCAATAATTTTTTTTGTGTAATAGTCCAATTACCAATAGTGCAGAAATGAAATAAAAAAAATCACAATGTGTAATTAGTCGTGATAAAATCTACGATCATTTAAATTTTATCTTTATGTTTTACAGTTATGAGTACCGAGATTGTGCTGAAGAAGAAAACTAAGAGAAGGGGTGGACTCCCAACTAATGTTACTATGTCACAAGTCATGGTGCAAAGGGAATTATCGCTACACGATATAAAGGTACATCCTAGCAATGTTTTTAAATCATTCTTGTCTGATAAAATAAATTACGCTATCTAATAATCTAGATTCGAAATTGTTAAGAAAAGTAAGTTCAAGAAGAACTGGTTTTCGAACTGTCATGTTTTGCCTATCAATGTAGCTGATGCAGTACGGCTTAGATATAATAATGATGCTCTATTAAGTCGTTTCAGCGGTAAATTAAATTTTGCATAAATTAATTTAGTTTTATGTTACTGTTTCAGTTCCATGACACTGAACTCAATAGAGAAATTGTTCAGACATCTCAACGTGTCGTTAACAACCAACCGTGTCCACCATCAGCGTACGGGTCATCTCAACAAAATCTCTCGGGCGTTGCACCTCAGGGCAACGAGATGAGACACGAAGCACACCCTCCAAGAAGTTCCCATTACCTAACTGTCAACAGTGGCTGGATTTCCCAACACCAAGAAAAGTCGGACAATGGCCAGTCCTCGAGTCATTCGACGATGACTACTGTCCAACCATCTCTTAATGGTACACCAGTATTAGGTTCTAATGGTCAAATAATTGGCGTTAATACAGGGTACAGCAAATATTCAAGTTACAAGAATAATATGGCCGTTAACTCGAACGCAACGTCACAGGAACTGAAAGACGAAAAGAAAGAAATGAACATACAGCATCAAAAACATTCTTATAAAGAAGAGGAATCTCAAATGTTTTGCGGTCTTAATCAAGCGTTAACGCCAGAAGTTATGCAAAAAATAAACGAACAACAACATATATTTATTCAACAAAATCAAAAACAAATAGAAATGGCCATGAAAGGTTTCCGATCGCAATTAACGGATAACGGCAACCAAAACAAATCGCAAAATCAAAATCAATACAATCAAGCGCAGTTAATGATACAAAACGGTGCCGTTGTTAAAACCAATCCCGCGAAAACTCCACCGTGGCAAGTGAAGAGAAATGAATCAATGACAAGCCCTGGTATAAAGGCAAGCAAGTCTGATAATCTGGACAGCGAAGAAGCGAACACAAACGTATCGGAGGACTCGTCAAGTTCCTATAGTTCGTTTTCCAGTGAACAATCAGTAAACCACACCGTATGTTCCCGGGTGCCGCCGCTACCGCAGCACTACTCGATGCTGGGACAACACTGGCCTGTTATGGACACAACCAAGAAACGAAACAAACCCAACAGTAAAGGCAGTAAGAAGAAAAACCCTCCCACGGAAAATAAAATGCTGTCCTACGGTAATAACGGAGTTCGTCTGGTGCACGATTCGAAAGGAAACACAAACGAACTACCGAACACTAATGTTCCTTCTTTTATGGATGATCCTAATGGGTACCTAGCGCAACAAACCGTTTTGCTAAACAATACCATTTCCAGACAAGTGGGCATAAACGCGACCTACGAAAGCTCTCAGTACGACCATTCTGTAAATTCTAATTGTTTCGGAGCACAAAACTCCGAAAAGAAATCGGCATCAAAATCAGTGGAGTCGTCCAACGTGCTAAGGAATCATGTGCCGAATCACTCTTTATCTCCGACGTCCACGCCAGACAGCAGTGTGCTGTCGGAAAACACACCACAATGCTGTAAAGGGTGTAACGTATCGAGGCGGCCCCCAGCTCCGGAATGCAATGAAAATCATTCGAGGTTTAAATACAGCAAGCACAACATTTTCAAATTGGAGCACGACAATACGACGTCAAGTACGAAAAACAACTTTGAAGACAATCCAATAACGTCTACTTTCGTAGAGCGATGCTCTTTAGGTGATAATAATGGACCTATACAGGCAGCTACAGTCAGTACCAGTTCAATAACGGAAACCTTACAACTTCCCGAACCATCGCCCACGCTATCGAATAGCTCTCGCAATACAGACACCCCGCACAGTAGCGGTTGCGTTAATAACCAAGCTTTATCTAATTCGATGTATACGTTACCGAGTCCGGCCTATTCGAACACTGGCTCTGGAAGAGATAGTTTCAGCAGTAATCCTTCGACACCAGGAAGCGGTCAGATGTATCCTTATAACTCTCCAGGACCACCTGTCAGTAATCAGTCCATCACTGGAACACAAATGCTGCATTTTATATCAAATCACAATGTTAATAAAAATCTTATGGAGGTAGACAACATATCGACAATGGTAGGAGTGAAGTCGGGCATGAAAACTCCGCAAGAGATTTATAAACTCGAGCACCGGCATTTGACGGAAAATGCAATGCCCGGTTACTGTCCGCCGCCGCATTTGGGCGGTGGTCCCGCGCACTCCTTGATACAAACCTGCTATGTACAAACTTTTGTGACAACAATGGCCAGTGGCTTCTCTGTGACTAGAGACACTGTAACGTCTGTGTTAGCCGGAAAGGCAAAAACTGCTACAACATCCATCAATGCTTCACAGGCCAATTTCGTAAGACCCCCGCCGCCGCCCAGCGTCAACTTAGCGACCTCCTATGCCATTCCAAATAACCAACCAGACCCGTTTATTAATTCAGTTAATTTACCAACGAGCTACCCGCTGCACATTGCGGGAACCACAGCACAGAACATGATATCCAAATCTCCATTAGAAATGGTTCAGAACGTCATTGGGAACTTAACACCTAAATCTGACATAAGTATTTCTCAAACGAGCTCTTTGGCTCAAATACGAAGGACATGTCCAACAACTCCAGGACAGATACTTATATCTTCAACTGGACAAATTATCGTGTCCAATAATCATATGCCCCCACCGCCTCCGAAAACAACCACGTCATCGTCATTGCACACTTCAAGTACTAATGTGAGCGCGTCCGTGACTCAAGTCATACCGGCCGTCGGTGGTGTGCAGTCGCTCGTAAATCAACCGGCTGTTGTGGTCAATACCTTGCCGACGCCATTCGTCATCCAACCGTCGATGATGGCGGTTGACGGTCAGGTTGTCCAGCAAAATGCTGTTTTGCCGCAGATCGTAACAGGGGGAATTGTGTCAGCTCAGTCGTCGCACGAAAATGCAAGGAACATTGATGTCAAAAATCAAATGAACTTCGTACAAGGTGTTGCGATGGTATCACCAGAGAGCATAAAAAAGAGAAGTAAGAAAAAGAAAAACCAAACTGCAAACATAACGAGCATGTTGCAAATTGCAGCCCCTCAGCAGAACAATAATTTGATGGTTCATCATTCTTCACCGCAACATAATTCCAATTCACAGTTCTCTCCCCGAAGTTTTCAACTATCACCGAACAATAATATATCGCCAACTCCGATGCTGCAAGCTTTGACCATAGTGCCTGGTAAGTCCGGAACTCCGGCTCACATCGTGATGAACGGCCAAAGTAACAACAATAGTTATGGATCTCAACAAATATTAGCAAATACGTCTCCCTCTCAACAAATAAATCTACTACAGCCCGTCAATCTAATAAACAATGCAGGAGGCGTAATGCCAAACTTCCCGGCCTTCCAACAGTTTATAGTACCAAATCTTGGTGGTATGGTGATGACAGCCGACGGTGCAGCTCTAATTCAAGATAACTCTGCCGGGATGCCCATGCAACTTCAACTGCAAGCCGTCAACGGACAGAACGTCCTCACCCCCGTTCAGAACTCGGGGGTGTTCACGGCAGGTACAGGGGGCAGCATGGTCATACGCGCACAAAACCAACAAGGAAAAATGATACAGTCACAACACAGTCCCGGGGCGCAGTTTTTGTCACCGAACGGACAGGTTATGATGAACAGTCCTAATTTCAATGGACAACTGAGTCCGATGCTGGCGAACCTAAGCCCAACTAACGTCACGTTTGGAGCGAGTCCGCAGCTGCGGCCCGGCGCGGTGCAATCTCAGGAGTTCCTTCAGACCAATCAAAGTGGACAAACGTTAATGGTCCCGATGTCGCCGAAGCAAATCTCGATATCAAGCGCGCCGAACCGCGCCTCGTCGACCTTCGTACAGAACACCACTATTGTTCAGCAGCAGACGACGCTCGTGTCTAATTCATCCAACGTGCACGTGGCGTCCGTTCCGACGTCCTCCGCTCGACTGAACTTAGATCCGAACCTTCTGTTGGGAAAGAAGCACAAGGGCAAAAGCGCGATTCAGAGGAGTCAGGCTGTTGAAGAGCACAAAGAGGAAGCGAACGCTGAGGAGAACGAGTCTACGCTGCGGCACGTGCGGCACTCTGTGTCTACTCAGACCTTGTTGAACCAGGCGAGGAACAAGTCGCCAGGCAGCAGCCCGCCCGACACCACCACGCACAGCCCGCTCGGCGCCGACACGCGGCTCGCGCAGCCCGACACCACCACGGAGTCGCCCGAGCCCGCAGACACCAGCTCCTCGGTCAGTGCACTGTGCTATACCATATACTCACCAACTCATCTATCACATTGATTTCTTGGACGATAATTGATACTGTAGTAACATAAATGACGACTAAATGTAGAAGTTTTACCCCACTTAAAAAGTTAAATAAGCAACAGCATTCATATTTAAAGAAAAAAAGTTTACCTTCCTTTCTTTTTTCTGTATATGCTATGGCCTGGTAATGAGACCTAAAAATATGGTTGGTTTAAAGTCAAGTTTTTTTATATTCTTTTTATAGTTTTTTTATAATATGAAAGGTCCATAATACATAATATGAAGCGAAATGAGATGAAGTTAATTATCTTGAGACTTTCATCAATTGGCATGAAATTAAATGAAAAGAAGTCTCAGTAAAATTGTGGTTATTTTCAGGAGACTTTTTCAATTGACATTTTGTCAATGAAATTTTGAAATTTTGAAAGAACCCGAGAAGCTACGTCCAGCGGCTTTGTTTCATTTAATTTCAGTTAGTAAACTAATGTTATTATACATTTAAACCTGAAAAAACATTAAATTAACAAATTAAAATAGTTCACAAAACTTAATTCCTCGCCTAAAGAAAAAATGCCAGTTATAAAATTAGACAAACTAGAGACGAGCAAATTTAACCAACATTAACACAAAAATTAAAAATTCCTTAGGATTATTATATTATTTTAATAATATAATAATCATAATAATAAAATAAAAGAATAAGACAGGTTCAGTCTTAGTCTACATTTTTAGTCATTTCGTATTAAGTCTCAGCTGAGCAAATGTTTCTAAAACACTAATTGGATTTCATTATTCATATAATATATTAAATATAAAATCAAAATAAACTCTAGTACATATAGACCGAAAAATTAAATGGTACGACCGATTCAATAGAATAATTTGTAAAGACATTGTAATATTTTCCAATATGTGATAATTTTAATATTTATTAGCTTTTCGTAGTCAAAATCGTCTACTGAATGTATTTAAACTAATCATACCGAACAACTACAATACAAAAAAGGTGGCATGAAGCTGGTGTTTTATCTGTGAAGGTAATGGGACATACAAATGAGTCAAGCAATTTTTCAGACATAGAACATATCTGTCAAATCTTTAATAAAAGAAAGGCTACAGTTGTTAGTGGAACAACAAATATATAAGGTTTATGTTGCCGACTGATATATATTAATATGAGTATACATAGATAAATCACATACCTTAAAAATTTGTTCACATTTCAGGCAATGGTTCAATGCGTGTCCAGTAGCGAGCAAGACATGACCGAATCTCGGGACCAGGTGTGGCCCGCGCCCAATGACTTCCCGTCCGACACGGACTCACAAAGTTAGTCAATTTACTTTGTCTTTTTTTTCCTACCTAAGCTGATGATCTAGAGAGACTATATCAGCGTCATCGGGCTAGTAGGTGAGTTCATGGGGCTTAAAACTTACGATGTTTCTAACACGAACCCTACCTAGCAAGAGCCGTGCTTCGCAGAATCTACCACCGGATCGGAAACGCCACCCGCTGAGAAGATACGGCAAGAAACTCAGTGGGCTGTGTCTATGGGTTATTACTTTGTCCAACTTTACATATAAGTTTTAACTTAGAAATATTGAAAATGTATCGATTTTTCTTTGCGTTTTTACCTACGAAAATATGACCCACCTGACTGGTGACTGGTCACCGTCGTCTGTAGATGTCGGTAATGCCAGGGGCACGACCAAATAGGTGCTTACCAAAAATGAATGTCGTTGTAGCCTAAAGGATAAGACGTCCGGTACATTCGTATCTAGTGATGCAACGGTGTTCGAATCCCAGGCGGGTATCAATTTTTATAATGAAACACGTACCTAACAAATGTTCGCGATTTACTTCCACGGTGAAGGAATAACATCGTGCAATAAAAATCAAACCCGTAAAATTATAATTTGCGTAATTACTGGTGGTAGGACCTCTTGTGAGTCCGCACGGGTAGGTCCCACCACCTTGCCTATTTTTGCCATGAAGCAGTAATGGGTTTCGGTTTGAAAGGTGGGGCAGCCGTTGTAACTATACTGAGACCTTATAACTCATATCTCAAGGTGGGTGGCGCATTTAGGTTGTAGCTGTCTATGGGCTCCAGTAATCACTTAACATCAGGTGAGCTGTGAGCTCGTTAACCCATCTCAGAAAAAGAAAACATAAGCTTAAATGTTTATGCTCAGTATTTTTATAGACTTCGGTAATGATTTCCTTGCGGCCTTTATTAGATTAAAGTATAACTCGGTAGGCAGCGGCTTGGCTCTGCCCCTGGCATTGCTGAAGTCCATGGGCGACGGTAACCACTCACCATCAGGTGGGCCGTATGCTCGTCTGCCTACAAGGTCAATAAAAAAAAACAAAAAAAAAGTTTAGCTTGAAGTCCTTTACATGAAATTTCTCTATCTGCCTTACAATCTTGTGTTTGGACAAAACAAAACTTCTATATTGGTCATTAGCTTGCTCAATATAAACAACTTAAAGTTTTGTTGTTTTTTCCTTACACTGATTATACATTGTAAAAAGTTTAGATCATGTTGGGTATGGCAATTAAAAAAAAAATTTGAGCCGTCACGGGATACCCGGCAGATGTGAAACACCGACATTATTTTGTAAAAGTAATATGCAGAAAAGAACTAAATATGTCATAATGATAAAATAAAATATTACGAAAAAATAATTTGTTTTCAAGTAAAACACAGGTTATGTTTACTGTAGTAAACAACACTGTATACACACTACGGAGTATAAACTATAGGTATCCGAGCTCAGTGTAGCGAGAGAGATGGCTTAACGCCGGATCGAGTGGGAGAGAATCGCACAGTCGATTGCGCATGGCGACGCGTAGCCACGGCATGCGTCGCCACGCCAGAAATCGGTTTTACGTGCGGCTATAGATGTTTCACATCAAAAAAAGAACCTCGTATAATGCTTCGCAGACCTGATGTCGAACGTACCGTTGCTGCGAGCGAACATGAGCTCGTCGCCGCTGAACTGCCAGACGGTGATGCCCGCCGCATCCGCCTACTACGAGAGGATGCATCCGTACAAGAGGAAAAACGAATTCGGCGACGGGTCCTCGTACAGATCCGATAAGATAATGCGGACGAACGGGTTCGGCGTTAACCACGGACTGACAAAGGACCTGGATTATAGCGCTATGACTGTGAGCTCGCAAGACCGAAGCTACAGGCACTACCAGGCCGCGTCGGACAGACACAATTTCAGTTCTGGCGACGGTAAGTGAGACCCCGCCGTCGCTTTATCCCTTCCCCCTTCACTACTGTGCTTCCTTGTACCCTTTGCTGTCATTTTATCTTATCTATAATAAAAATATTGGTTTTTATCTGACTGTATGCACTTAACGAAAATGTTGGTCCCTTGGTTCACAATAATCGATTCTAATGACTGTTTTCGTATTGACATTTACTGATTTCACTTGTGTTTTTAAATGAATTTAATTTTTTAATTAAATTGTTAGCTAAAAAAATCTAATTAGATCATTCTATCTTTAAAAATGTTGTAAATAAATTGCAAACGAAACCCCCCTTGTTTCTGGATTTCTATCAGTCATTTCATGCTTCAGTCATAGCTAACAAAATTCAAATTTTAAATTGTTGTGTCTTGTATTGGTTATGGATTGCTTGATATAATCAGGATGTATGATTTAATTGTAATTATATATTAATACGTAAAAATCGGACATAATAAACATCGTACTGACGTGTGTTGTGGTGTATTTCAGCTTCTACATAATGCGATACTATCGGTCATTGGTTTTCTTTTGGTTGGGTTAATACAAGATACAGCTGTTAATATATTAAGGGTGTACTGGAAACTAATCAGAATAAAACAGCGATGTGCAGCGTGCAAACGTTCTCACCCAGGCTTTCTGTCGCTTTCCATTGCACCATATCTATGAAGTAACAAAATTGGCTCACAAATTGGGACACCATTACTAACGCATCATTGTAAAGCCATCATTCCATCCGCTCGTCGTTGTAAGTACGCACGTTTCACACATATATGTACCTCGAATCTATATTATTTCTTCTGTGTTTAAAATAAATTATTGTAATTACTAATTCTTTGAAATAAAACCTAGAAAGACTTCGCGAAAAATCAACTTATAAATATATTTAGCTTTTTATTATGTCGACCATTGGGGTCTTTCGATACTCAGAAAATGTATTTGTTTTAATGATTTCAAATATGTATATTTAATTAGAATACACACGATAGAATCGTTTTGAAAGAGGAATAGCGTTCTTACGTTGAATTTGGAGGCGGGTCAACGCTTAAAGTGGCGGGTAACGTCGATAGATGCGAAGAGCGACGAGGAGGATGTCGAGACCGAGGGCGAGGCTGAGGGCGAGGCGGGGGACGAGGCGGAGGACGAGGCGGGGCAGAGGGACAGAGGGGACAAGTTCGCGAGGGGGCAGGTGGTGTGGGGCCCGGCGCCGGGGCACGCGTCGTGGCCGGGGCAGCTGGAGCGGCGGCGCGCGGACGGGCGCTGGGAGGTGCGCTGGTTCGGGGCGCGCGGGCTCGGCGTGCTGCACCCCGCGCGCCTGCTCGCGCTCTCCGACGGCCTGGACGCGCACCACGCCGCGCGAGAGCGACACAGGAAGTGAGTCCGGACCCGACCCTCCACCGACTCCCTCACAGACTTCCTCACAGACTCCCTCACAACATTCCCTGTCGAACCGCCTTCCTATCGGTGCCCAGAAATGACACAGTACGATAGATTCTTTCAACGTACGTACTAGTTAAACGTAATTTAACCGTGGCCAAGATCGCACAATTTATATTTCATTAAACTTGCATAGCGTGAGAACATTGTGTATGACTGTATCGACCGCTCTCTTAGTTATGACAGGCATAATTAAACCTTTTATAGTAACGTCATGTCGTATCGCTAACCCGATCCAAAGAAACTATGTAATTTGTTTATTCGAATATTCGAAGCTGAAATCGCACCCGATGACGTCACGATGTAGATAAATATTTATGTTTTATTTTCTTTCGTCGAAGCAGGAGTAGAAAATTGAATACTTTATTGGAGAACGCGATCCAGGAAGCGATGGCGGAACTCGATAAAAATAGCGGAACCGGCGCGTCCGTCGCGCAGCGGGAACGGGACCGCGAGGGGGACAGCGACGCCCCCTCCCTCACAGACACTCCGAAGAAGAGTAGGAAACGTGATAAATCTAAAAATAAAGAGAAGAAGAAAAGTGCCGCCAAAATATCTCGGAACAAACCGACTGATACTCGTCTACGGAGCTCACAGTGAAGACGCTGCCGTAGCGGACACGACCTAACAGTTTTTTAACAAAATACAAGCATTATTACATAAATATTTGTATATTACTCTTCGTGTGTAAAATAATTCATTAATATCGTTTGATGAATGAGAACTACAACGAACATTTTTCAATAGAGGCAGTTGTACATTATTTTTCTATTCGATGTTGGCAGCATGCGCTAACCGTTTGCCTACGAGAGAACCTAACATTATTTGTTTCGAGCTCCTGTACATTATACAGACTACTGTGTGCTTAGTGCGAATTTTTTAACGTTCTCGATAGAGTAAAAGTAACCCAAATTTGTATGCAGTTGGAACAGCGTTTCTAGCGGCAAACGTTTCAATTCCATACAAATTTGATTTAACTTTTACGCTATCGAGAACGTTAAAAAACTCGCACTAAGCTCACTGTACGCTCGAGGCTCGCCCGACGTAGCTGCGTCGGGCAGAGCGATGTGGTGACGTCACGCGTGTAACGTTTGTAAGATCGTCTACCATTGCGACCATTGAACCTTTACCTTGAATAGTAAGAGTAAGATTATTAGACAAAGTAAAGGTGTCCCTTGTTCATATACAGGGTGTAAGGTAAAGCCTTCCGGACGCCGAAAAGGAACAGTAAAATCTAACATAACCTTAAAATAATATTCATTTGCTAATCTATGCAAATGTCAAGGCCAGCGTCTGTAGCCGAGGTCGTGCATGGCGCCTACCTACACGCAGCCTTAAGCCCGCTGAGTTTCTCGCCGGTTCTTCTCAGCGGGTCACGATTCCGATTCGGTGGTAGATTCATTCGCGAAGCAGCTGCTCTTGCGTTGTTAGGTCTCCTTTGGAGGCGCTCGGGCAGCTGTTAGCAAATCTCACCCCTCTTAGCTGAGCCTTTGCTCGCCCAACTGCTCTGGTGAAACTGGAAAGCCCTCCGTCAAGTAACGCCTCAATCACAAAAAAAACTAGCAGTCTAACCTATAAAAAATAAAACTATCTGCACAAATTGTTCACAATGGTCAGATTATTATTAAGATGGTATTCTAGATATACACAAGATTTTAAAAATTAAGTTTAATTTGCTAGTTGACAAAATAAATGAATTAAAATGGGGAAAGAAGTCTAAAGTTTTAATTTTGAATTCATTTAAAAGGATCTCCTATGACCGCATGGAAAAACCGCAGATGCAGTGATCGATGAGTCGAACGTATGTACGAACGACATTGCGCGTTCGCGAAATTAAAAGCTAGCACGATAGTTTGGATTAACAAATGAAAATTATTTTTTCGCTTTTTATAGGTATTTTTCTTCCTATTTCGGCCAAGGAAACCGTTACATTAGACCCTGCATAAATGAACTTTTGTCATTTATCATCACGTTATATCGACATCACATACATTATAGTGAAACTAATTGTATAAAAGAAATTAATAATATAGAGAAACGTTTATCTTAGATAGTTCAATTATGTTGAGATTCTATTTCATATACTTCACTTATACAACGCAAAGCTAATCAAACTGCGATGACGAGTGATTTCTTGCGTCATGTTCATCAGACAACTGCCGGCGACGCGGCGTCGGCCTCCAGACAAGTCCTTTTGAATTTTAGATGTTCCTAATAAACTAAATCGAAATTATAATATCACTATTGAAATCAATATATTATAAAGCAATGGTTGATTAAACGCGAAATTATATAATGTGAAGTACCTAGTTGTCGAGTAGATATTTTAAACGACGAGATTTAAAATCTTTGTTGTACTATTAAAAATAATATGTATGTATTTTAGATTAATTCGTAGTTAAACATAAGTACCTAGGCTTGTCAATGTCAAAACTGTGTTTTCTTGATGTCATTTATGATGTGGTACAATTAATACATAATACAGAGAAATGTTATTTCATTAAAAAATTATGCTATAAATTTTGTAAATTGTGTTTTTGTTAGAAAGTAATAAGTTTAACATGATTTCTAGTCAAAATATTGAGCATATAATAAAAATGTAGATATTACATATAGATGAAGTAATTGACAATAACACAGGCTTGTGTGTGGCGTGGGCCCCGCGTCGACGTTGTTCCGATTAAATAATTAATAATTAATATGTACAGAACATTATTACTTTCGACATTGTGCTACTTGTTTGCGTTATTAATTTTATACTTTTGTTAATATTCTATGTATAAATATAAGGGCTACATTTCAGTAAGTTGAAATTCGGCAATCCAACTATGAGTTTCAATTTATAAAATATATCACTAACATAATATTATAAAGTTTTTTCATAATATTTTATTTAAATTAGTTTCGAATTTTTTGATCATCGGTTCAGAAGAGTGTGTGTGAGAGTTAAGTTTTGTTTTGAATGTAATTTCCATCACCGAACCAATCACATCGTAGTAAAGGTAGATAGTAAACCACTGTCGTCATTTTTCAGTTCTAATCGTAAAGAATAAGTTCACTCGAAGTGATAATAATTGATAAGAATATGATTGTGGTAAAAGGGAGATTATTTTAAAAATATTTTATTCACAAAAAAAAAAAGCTATTGTTAATATTATAGTTCATAAATGGTGTTTGAAAATTTTAGGTAGATTTTTAATTGTACACGTCAATCAGTTTATTTTTTCTTTGATAATTAGATGTTTGTTATTGTCAGTCATTGTTAGTTTGTTCGCGATATGAAGAATATGTTTAATGTCCCAAAACATAGCGAAAATTAATCATAGCTTATGTACTGTTTTATAATGCCGTATTTTAATAAAGCTTAGAGATTCCATAATATGATAAATGAATATGAGTTCAGATATTGACATAGTATTTAATGTTAAATGGTAATTGTTTAAAATAGTCGAATAGCACTTCCCTATGAGATGGTATTATGTAAATAATCCTTCTGTAGTTATGTATAGATTTTATTTCGATGAAATTAATGTTTTATAGACTAATATACAATATAAGATTATTTATTTGTTTTGCTGTGTACATATTTTTTTTTCAATAAAATGTACCTGTTTTAATTGTTTTGTTTTATTGACTTAATATATTTAGATAGTTTTTTTTTGTTGGCACGGATTGTCATACCAGCTGATGTCTCAGCTCACATTAATTCATAACGTTAATGCAGTCGCCCGTCTTGAGATATGATTAAATAACGGCTAAACTTCGTACGCTTTGCTAAAGATGGGCAAGAAATCAATACGAACATCTAAAATCGAAAATACTGTCTTTATTTAAGTAGTTTTGGTGGCAGCATTTGATTTATTGACGTTTGACGTAGCACGCGAATCACTACCAAACCATATCCGAAGCCTGTTAAGTTGAAGGCCGCTTCTCACTTTGTGACATTATTTTTGATTCTTAGCCACAATGGAGTAACAGCTTTCCCTTCCTAAACACCCAAAAGCATGACTGCTTGGTGAGAAATGATAATAATACGCAGAGCTATAGTCTAATTGACTGCTGTACTACCATAGTGACTGCTTGAATATTGCAGTACAAACCCGCGTGTGCTCAACGAACTCACTATCAGAATTGATTGGGGCTCATTTCTAATTTGAAATATCTAGGTTGACAAATGAGCTGTGCCATTTCTATTTCATGAATGATTCTAATAATCCTGTGTTAAATTTATCTCGGAGTCAAAATACTGGAGATGGTACAAATTTTTGGTTCGAAAATGCGGTAAGGTGACAGAAGAACATCATCTCATTAATATTAAAATGTGTAATTATGACGAAATACTGGTGGTAGGACCTCTTGTGAGTCCGCACGGGTAGGTACCACCACCCTGCCTATTTCTGCCGTGAAGCAGTAATGCGTTTCGGTTTGAAAGGTGGGGCAAGCGTTGTAACTATACTTGAGACCTTAGAACTTATATCTCAAGGTGGGTGGCGCATTTACGTTGTAGATGTCTATGTGCTCCAGTAACCACTTAACACCAGGTGGGCTGTGAGCTCGTCCATCCATCTAAGCAATAAAAATAAATAAAAAACGAAAAAATTGAAACATCCACCATATATCCCAAGGTTTTTAATGGCTCTAATAAATAGTTTAAGGTCGTCTGGGTAAGTAAATAGACATTCATGTGCATTTTTCCCGTTTTTGCAAGTTTGCATATGAAAAGGAACATTTATTCTTCCACTTTTACGTGATATTGGTTGAATATTATGTACTGTTGTTGATAATTAAAATAAAAAAAATTGTAGGATCTTTATTCAAAAGAGGATTTAGGCGACAAACCTTAATTAATTCAACATCTTTGTGTATTGTTGAATAAACGCTGATATGTATATGAAATTCAGTACTACATAGTTCATAGCCTTAAAACAGATCAAGTGTGTTATGGTACCTAGTAATAAATCGATGAGAGTGAACAAAACAGTAAATAAATGAATGTACAGTCATAAAATGAACCCTACTGTAAAATACAAGACTGGAGACCCTTCAAAATATTAGGTATGAATTTCTGGTCGTACTGAATTATGAATTGAAATTTTGCGTTGGTGTTAGAAGTACATTTAAATATTTAGTTAGCACAAAATATGATTTTATAGGTACCCATAATAACCTATAAAGTTATGTTTTGCTTATCAGCTTAATTCTTGACATTAATTTAATAAAAAAGTCCTACACATTATATTGATGACACTCATTTATATTGATTACACCCACATTTTATTGCATTTAAGTATGAACATCTACATAGTACAATAATTTAAGCACTGTTCGTAGTGGAATAGTAAAATCTCCAACTTTTTTTGAGAGATAGCTTAGACTTGCGCATTGGACTCACTGTCTATCATTGCGTATAATATATACTAACGTTTTCCGGTAACTGATATTTTTTAGATCATGCCTATTGGGCTAAGGCAGTTGAATCAATCTGTCCTTTGACTACTGAACTAGTATTGATTGTTCATTAATCAAATTATTATCTCTTTGGACAAGTATATTTTGTACAAAATGTACCTATAGTAATATGTATTATTATAATTAAATTGATAATTTTCGACAATATCGAATTTTCGTTGTAACAAATATATTATTGAAATTTGCGGTTTGCAGAACAAAGGGCTTCAACTTTTACTGTAACAACAAGCTTTGGTTTCATGTGATGTGCTGACATAAATCTACGTCGAGTAGGCTCTGCAGTGCAATGTATCCAGTATTCCGCATGCTATTTGTTTAACTGTAGGTCTTGACATTCTTTTATGCAATCCTTCACAATTTCAAGCGATGAACAAACAAACATCATCCTATGAATGCTTTCTGAAAAAATGTCGCCTGCAATATGTTCGGATTAAAAACAATACTGTGTATGTCGTTTTAAAATAAATGATGAAGGACCATGCAGCTGTAGCTTTTAACAGAACAAATATTTTATGAATGAACTTCCTGCTGGTGCATGATTTCGTTGTTTTTTAGACAACAAACAGACCAGGGCAATATGAGTTCGTATAAGCTAACGTCGATAGTTTTGGTAGGAATTTATACAGTAAAAATTCTTATTTCTATGTGAAACAGAGAAATGTTTACCTAAATATATTATAAAATTTTATGAAGTTTGTAGAATGTGTTACCTATTCAAACCATTTTGTATGTACAATGTACATATTCTTAAACTTAGGTAGGATTAAAAATCGAAGTTAATTTTCTCAGTGAAATATATTTTAAAGAGTCAAATAGAACACAGAACAAAGTTAAATAAAACGGAACAAACTGGTATTCATCTTGCTGGTGAAATAATTCTAAATTCGTTTAGTTTATTCTCTCCATTTCCCGCGTCACTCGTTCGCTTGCCAATTCTGTCAAATTCACATTGTGAAAGTTGAC